TTTTGAAGGTGGGTGGGGAAGAAGCAGATTTCTAAGTTTTTTTTTTCTCCATGCAAAAAAGAGAAGAGATTGGCAGTATGGTTTCTGACTAATTTTGGTTTCTGACATTTGACTTATACAGTATGTCAGAGAATACTATGCCTGCTTAAACACCCATGGTGGGTACCTGCATTACTGTTTTAATGCCTATTTCAGTGTGAAAGAGAGCAGCCAACAAAGCATGAACACTCGTTTGGGTTCTTAAAGCTGCATTGCTATTCCTTGTTTTCAATTTTGTCATCTGCAGGGTATAAATAGTTGACCAGGACTAGAAACTCCACTTAAATATATTTTCTTTATTCCCAGCAAATATGTTCATTATGGTTCTTTTCCTCCCATGTATTTTGTTTTTAGTTGAAATTTTCAGAATTATCTGATATTTTTCAGCAGAAACCATGTCTTTTTCCTGAATGTGCATATAATGGCTCATGCGATTTGGAAGTTTTAATTGTTTCAGGGTTAAGTTTCACAAAAAAGAAAATAATACGTACATGGGAGTTTTGAAACGGTATTGTTTAGGGGAGGAACTGAAGAGAACAAGGGGAGTGAATATAAAAACTGTACTTCTTTCTTTTTACTGACTTCAAAGTATTTACTTCTGGCTTATGTTAGATTGGGTGAAGAATCAGGTCATATCTCCACTATTTTGCCTATATCATGTAAACAGTTAGCAGAACAAGTAACTTGAATACAAAAATAAAGAATGTGGCATGAGAATGTTTACAGATGAATGCTTTACCTCCTGTATATGCGGGTTTGGGTTTTGTTGCATCTAACTTTAGGCACATACAACTGGATGAACTCAACGTTTTTCAGTGCAGTTTTTGATTTCTCCTTTTTATTATATATTTAATAGTACTTAGGCATAGGGAGATTAATATGCATTTGACTATATGGAAACAAATTATTTATGACAAACAATAATACTGTACATTTTATAGAGATAAGTAGGCTACAGTTGTAACTCACAATCTCTTATTCTATTTTACTCGAAAGCAAGCAAAAATTTCCTTGATATAGTTTTATATTTGCTTTGAATATATATTTTCTTTTAGGTCCATGTTGTTGCTTTGCCGAAGTACTTTCTGCTTCTCTCGCTCACATATGCATACTTCATTGTAGGTCAGTTTCTCCTAGAAGAGTCCCGCTTGATAGAAGCAGCTGAGATGGCAAAGAAAGCAGCTGAGCTGGATAACACAGAGTTTGATGTTGTTTTCAATGCAGCACACATGCTCAGGTTAGTTCTTTATCTCTGCCTTGCCTGTTTTTCTCTCTCACCTGTAAGGGAAAAAAATTCCTGTCTAATTTTCCAGGCATAGAATCGAATTATTGGAGGTTTTTCTTGATTTTTTGCCACCGTCCCTCTGCTACAACAGGGAAAATAAACTGCGGGGAAGGGAAGGGTGGCATCCTTGTCCTCTGCTCCCCCAGCTTCTTCCCCCTCCTGCCCTTCTGTATCCCTGACTGTCAAACCCTGCTCTCCCTGAGCACATGAAAGTGAGAGAAACATTTGAAAACACTGATAGATGATACATTTCACCCCCCCCTTTTTTTTTTACTGATGCAAATTTTAGAACAAGTATTCCACTGTTAAGCAGCAATTTTATACTTACTTATATTGAGTACAAACTACACATAATAGTTGAAAGTCAAAAAGCTCATGCTATAGCACACAATTCATTGGGCTGCACTCCACCAGAGTCAAGAGTTTTTCTAGCCATGGTGACTCCACCGCTGAGCACTGCTCAGTGTGTGTGTACTCCAGATACCACCCTCCCTAAAGATTCATGTGCTAACTCGCCCCCCACTCATGACTGGAACTAGGTTTTCTGCTTATGAGTCCTGGGATCTCCAAAATTTTATATGTAGATGGAGCACAGGGCAACCTGTTCTGGTTCCACCTCATGAACGGTGGGGCCACACTAATCACACGCAGCAGGCTGACACAGGGGCAACAGAACAATTCTGGGTGAACTGTTTGGAGCCCTGCTTGCTGATGTTTGCCAGATATTTAAGGCTGGTGAAGAAACAGGAATCAGTGGAAATGGGAAAGAAAGGTGCCGTTCAGCTGTGGAAGTGGAGAAGTTGAAATATATGCAGTGTAGTGGCTCAATTTGATTTGAAAAAGAATTGGCACTGAGGGGGACTCGATACAATGGGTACTACCGTATATTTTTTTTCAAAGGAGCTGTACTAATTTACTATTATAAGTTCCCATCGGTCTCTTTGCCCCATATGGGCCAAGTGTTTCATAGTCTTGCTCAGTGTTGGATGCATTGATTCAATCTCGTTGTTGATTTCAATTACTGAGCACACGCTGCTTTTGGCAGCAGTTTAATGAGAGACAATGTATGTAATATGATTTCCTTGTATACAATTTTAGAACAAAGACCTTTTTTCCCCATAATTTTTGGAGGAAAAAAATCTCATCTTATATTTGAGTAAATATGGTAAATACTGTGTACCTTGTACTTAAAAAGAGGGAAAATGAGAGAACACTACGTGATTTAGTTACAGCTAGCTTTAAAAAAAATGGACATTTTTACATGTGGTTCTGATGTGGCACCGGGCACTTTTAATTAGCAAGCCATGCTAAGTAAACATGCTTGTACATCATGAGTATCAGTGGCACAGCGCACCTCTGCGCTGAGAAAATGGCGGTGGTGCACTTTGAACTAAAGCACATTGAATATGTTTTAGTTCAAAGCGCACTGCTGCCATTTTCTCATTGCGGAGGCACTCTGCACTGCTGATACGCGTGATGCATGAGGCTGCCAGAACATGTCAATTTATGTGCTCCAGCAGACTTGATTAATCAAGTCTACTCCAACGCGCTGGATTTCCAGCATGTCTGAGCAGGCTCCCCGCATGTGTGTAAGTGCCCTGTATTTCTACCTACAACATACACAGAAAATGACAATAAATCAGAGGTGTTTAACAATTCTGGAGGAAGTGACTTTTTGGGGTGAAAAAGGATGCTAGACCTGAAATGGTTCTAGGACTTTGAAGCTAGTTATAAGAATGTACATGGGTGCAAGTGAGAAGGTTATGGAGTGAGTGGTAATATTGGCTTACTGGGGGGAATGAAAGTGGCCAGATGGAGCAGAACAAGAGACCAAAATGTAGATAAGTGCTCTGTTGTGCTGAGCCATGAAAGCAAAACTGGGAATCTTAAACATTATAGTAGGTAGCCTGTGGGCCTGGATAGCTGTAAGACAGAAAACATATTAGAAGAGTTAACCAGGTGTGGAAAATTGTTTAGCCGTGACAACGGAGGGAAAAAAAGAATGGCTTGAAAAACTACACTATGGATTTAGAAGAAGCTAGGAGTTGGTGTTGGCCTGGACATAGACCCAACAAGGTTATAATGACAAGAAAGTAATGCTAGCACTAACATTCCTGATCAAAAATGTATTTTGTGACTGCAAACATATAAAATGACTTTACAGGAGGGAGTAGTAATTTTGCTTTCTAAAGTTATGTTTGTTTTTAGCAACCTGTTTTGCACCCTTTTTTCCCAAGCATTTGCTCAGAGTAGAATAAATGTTTAGCTAAAAAAACTGTTTGTGCCTTTGCACAATACGGATATTCTTACAGAAAGGGAATAATTGGCAATCAAATGAACCCTCAGTGTTGTTCTTTCTGCTCATCAAAGAGCCATGTGCGATCCAAATTGTGCTTTCTAGACTCTCAGGATCCCAACATATCTGATAGATGACACTCCAGTCAATGAGGAAAGCTGGACTTGAGAAATGCTCCTAAGCAATAAATGTAACTTGGCAAGGGCAGCGGGTAAGCTGGTCACCAGCCCCGAGTGCCAATTTAGCAGGGGTGCCAAAATGGTGGTCTAGGCAGTAGTAGCCCCATACCACTGCTCTTGTAGTAGCAGCTGGGTGCATGGATGTTGCACTGCTGCCATGACAGCTATAATAGGTGTGGGAAATCACGCCAAGGCAGCCGACACCAGGGACTTTTCTCAAGTCTGCAAAGTGGGTAAGAATGAACCTTCTCTTATTCACTCAGCAGCAGCACCACCTGATCCCTGTTCCCCAGCATGGTTTGCCCAGGATGCAAATCCTTCTAGTTAAGACTCTGCTCCTACACTATCACTCATGTCAATATTGATTTAGGAAACCTGGTTTACTTTTAATTGCATAACTCAATGGGCTCAATGCTGAATTGCCCCGCTTAGCATTCTGTATAGGTTTAAATACTGTTCTATTGAAAGACAATAATATACACTCATGGTTACTGAAAAAAGTATTATTTAAGCTGCCAAGAAATAAACTAGGTGTAGGGAAATTCCATATATTCCCTTAATAATAATAAGCCAGATTGCAGGCCTCCAAGTTGCAATGAATAGCTAGCAGCTATTCCATAACCAGCTTGATATTTCCTAACAAAGACCATGAACCTGCATTAACTCTATTATTATGTGATGAGATTACTTGTATTCAGCGGCAGATGTCTGCTGGAGTTCATTGCAGGCTCAATGGTAGTCACAGGGCTTGCTGTAGGTGAGCATACAGCAGCCTGTATGCTGCTAAGAAAACTGACCCTAAGACTTCCACTCAGGGGAGTCCAGTCTGACAGTTCTGCTAGCAACTGAAAATAGGGAATTGTGATGGAAGGTGTGAGTGTGACATGAACTATAGGCCTTCATACTGATTCTCCAATTTAATATTAACTATGTTTTGTAAGATTAATTACTGAGAAATTTGTTTAGCCCAGTTGTGAAATTTTTATAAGCAATGACTAATAGTTGGGGTTTTTTTACATGAAGGTTAGGGGTGCAAGATTCACAATGTGGTAGCTTAAGGAAAAAAACATAGCATTCTTCAAGTTTTGTATGAATCCTAACAGTCTTTAAAGCAAACATTGTCAAGTGCTGTATTATTATGTTCACAATAATATCAGTTTTCTCACAAATTACATATTTTTAAGTTCTCAGTTTACTGAAACATTACAGGAATTAAAAAACTAGAGAGTTTCTTTTAGCCTTGGTTTACAAATCTTGAGCTCCTCCCTCTTGGGGCATGAGGAGGGTATCACAACAACTCTTTTTGAAATAATTTTTTCCTATCCTTTTCACTTTTGATAAATCATTTACCAGATTAGTCATCCTTTTTTTCTATGATTAAAATGGTTAGAAATTAAAAAGCGCTCGAAGGAAATATGATCAAATAAGTCCAGAACAATTTGTAGCAAAACATAAAGCAGACTGAAGCAGAATTGGAAGACTGTGTTCAAGTGTAATAGGTTGATTTATGGATGCACTCTTCCAAGTTTGGCTGGAAATAAAGAGAGGTTTCTACTTCTTCTGTCAGCTACTCTTTAACAGTGTTCATTTCCTGTCTTTTTGCACAAATCTGGCAAGTTAGATCAAGACAGAAGTGAAGGAGTTGTCTGCTTGCATCTTTAAGGATCGCCTCAGTGGTCCCGATTTTATATAGTTATTTAGCTTTTGCATGCCTGACTTCTGCAGGGTCCTCAAGCACCACTCCAGATAAAACAAGTCACCTGTCAGAGATATGAAGGGTAGCTGCAATTAATATATTTGCAGCAGTGACTTGATCTAATAGCACCTTGTTTCCAAGGTACTCTCCTGTTAAATTTATTTCCTGACTGGATCTGATTTTCAAACACCTTCATTCAAGGGTCAAACTGCTATTTGTTTGTTTATTCTGCTTAAATTGCTAACCGTTCACATGTATTAGTTGCTGTCGGTTTTGGGTTTTTTTGTTTTGTTTCATCTTTGTTCAAAAACTCTCTAGGACCTTTCATGAGCACTGCATACATTTTAATGGAATCTACTGAATCCAGTATTAAAACTAGGGAAGAGTGTCTGTATGGCTTCAGTGATGAAGTGCTTGGGGAATCCTATAACAACAGTACTAGCTGACTTTTATTTTCTAGTATTTTACCTGAGGTCAGCTGCCGTGAGAAATCAGATAAGTCTCTTGTGACCCAACTGGTGGTTACTCTTAAACTGAAAAATGGTAGTTTAGTGACACCTGCGTACTAATTAGATGGAAACAAAAGGAGAGAGCAGTACAGTATCTCCAGATGAAAAAGAGGCAAAGAAAGAAAAGCTTTGCTTGAAAGCACATACTGTGGGAATAATTGGTTTTTTGGCACTTCAGTAAAACAAAGGGCTGCTACTGAGACAGTCAATTGAGTGTGTGCAGATAGTGAGCGTTATGTAAGGATTTGAAAACAGATTTAAACTACAGTAAT